TCTGTCCTATGTAGTGTTTCTCGCAGTTGCTGCATGGTATTTTATATGTCACATTTGTCCTGCTTCTTGTGGGCATGGGGTCTTTCGTCTTTGAGAGTAACTGGCAAAGTGTGGCTGTTGGTTTGTGTGCTATCCTTATTCCAAAAGGTCATAGGAGTCTTGTAGTCAGTTCTGATGTGTTTCTAACACAGGGTAGGGTGGCCAGTGTGTTGGGGGCGTGCAGTTTTTTTTTTTTTTTTAAAAAGTGTTGTTTGTTTGCCAGGCATCGGCGGACAAAGCTGTTAGGATAACCATTGTTTGCAAAGACTCTGTAGTGGTGTCCCTCCTTGTTTTTGTGCATCTACATACCACTATGGTACAAAACCGGAAACAAGACTGCCCACTATGACAGACCAGACCATATAAGTTCAGAGTGAGACAGAACAACAGTGCTTCAATGGAGGCTACACAGCACTGACGATGTTACCTCGAAGGGAGACGAAACGTTTGCACGAAAACCAGTCAGCTTGGCAAACCAACCAACAACTCCAACCGCAACCTGAGCTACAGATCTTTGTTAAAACATTTTATTCCTGGAAACTGTTCAGAATATGATCTATGAATTCATATCTTTCTCACAGTTTCGCTTACCAATTGGACTATTCCAGAAGACTGAAGTTCCCCCAGGATTAATGTACAACCTTTGTTACATGCTCCCATTATCTCCCAGCTTATTCTGTCTCACTGTGTAGCTATAGAGGGTCCATAGATTACTACTAACTTTTTACTTCCTTCTAAGTTTCTTACTTCCACCTGTATAAATTATAGAATTTCCCATTCAAGATCATTTCTTGCTGTCATACTTATTCCATCCCATACCAACAATGCTAGCCCAATTTTTCCTTCCTGCTGTCCTTTCAAAAAGAGATCCTGAATATTTCGTTCTCAGCTTTGATCCCCTTGTAACCATATCTGTCTAAGGTTATACACATTAATGTATTTTTTGGGTAATTCACCTATTTTGTTCTAAAAACTACATGCATTCAAGTAAAGAACCATTGCTTTTGCCTTTTACCACTATTTCCCCTTTTGACCCTGCTGGTTTCCGATGTTTGTATTCTGTCCCTTCCTGTCCCACCCTGGATATTGTTACCCAAATAGCTGCCCTGTAATTCTGCCATATCCTCTTGCTTTGTAAGCTTACATTTCTCCTCTACCAAACCCTCCAGACTAAGGGTCCTTGCACAGGAGATAGGCTTTGCCTTTACCAGGATATCCATGGGTATGTACTTCATTGTTGAAAGCTGTTTCTAATTTAACACAATATTTCTCAACATTAACAAATACAAAAATAGCAGTATCGAGCAACATCCTTTCACAAAATAAACCAGAAGTTAAACAAAAAACTAAATTGCTAATCATCATCGATTTAAAAGAAAAATCCCAGCATGATCTGCTGCTTATCAATGTGGACAGACAGAACAGTCAACTGTTTGGCAAGGGGAGATTCCATTGAACCTTTGGAAGCATATCAGGTGACACAGTAAATTTGCAGACAGCACCTAATGGATGGATATAGCATGGGAATAAATATGGAAATGAACTGTGGTAACATTAATAATGCACTTTAAAAAAATTTTCTTCATAAGATCTCACTTTTTAAAAAAAAATTTTTTGCCACTTGTCTGCTTCCATGCTGTATGACTCTATGACTTTGCACCTTATAAATGACAGATAGGTTCCAGACTACCACTGGATATTTGGCAATATTATCTTGAAGATACTAAATGCTATCCAAGTATGACATTACAGTTCTTCTCATGTGATTCTGCCAGCTTTTTAACATCTCAATATAGTTCTGATGGGGAATAAATCAGTACGTATTTTATTCCATGGGACTAGATAACCCTTGAGGTTATGTTCTGTCACTTACCAAAATAAGTCTATTCAAAGCCAAAAAGAAGGTACTCAGCACTGCAAAGATCACCGGCACACTTAAAACTGACAGAAGATTTGAGACAAATACCTGACAGTTTAAACAGCAGCTCCGATGCCACTTTACAAGACATATCCTGGTTGAACATTTCTGAAGCAGCAGTGACTTCAGAGATCTTCTTTGATTTCTCAGGAGGTTCCTGTGTCACTGGTGACTTGTTGCCAAATAGATAACCAGACTGCGGTGAAAGAATGGGATCAGGCGGTAACTTCTCTTTAAGCTCATCTTTAGCTTTAAACTTTGGAGTTAAAGACCCCCTTTGGTTTGCAGCTGTTAATTCAAAAGAGCAAAACACATGAGTATAGCACTACAGGGTTTGACTTTTATTTATAGGCACAGTGCATTTGCTGCCTTATGGGCTATGCTAAAGATTATTGATTAAGCACAAAAGGTTATCCTTAATGCATACAGGCTGAAAGTTTTGAATTTTACAGGAAGATGATCAAGTTGCTGACTCAGGTGCATGGTTTCATGGGCAGTTGAAGATATTATGTACAGTGAAAGGTGGATTTGCAAGCTTGCCCGCTAGGAGTGTATTTTTGGAGTCAGAAAATTAAGGGCAATGCAGCCTACTAAACAATGGATGGAAATAAATGTTGAAAAAGACTAGAATTCCTGCATTGCAGTCTTGCTGGGAGAAAGACCGTGTCACTGAGCATAAAGTTCATTTCATAAAAATAGTTTTGGAAAGTTAGCGGGGGGTATCATTAGCTAAATCTAAATCTGCTCTCACCCAGCATCTCCACTTCAGAGGTTACTACCAAAAAACCTCAGGTGGAAAAACCAAATGATTTTTCCATTCTTTTTCGGAAAGACCAAGTGCAATTATAATGCACTCACTAAAAATGACTGATTCAATGTAGACTTTATTTTAAACCTGGGATTCCTCAGGTCTGTATGGCTTAGTAGTCCAAATAGGAGTTAAAATATTGAGCCATTTGTGGAGGTAGGACTCCACTTTATGATTCAACACTGTATATACAGGATTAAAACAAAAACCCAAAGAACTGTATATGCTGGAAATCAGAAACAAAAACAGAAATTGCTAGGAAAACTCAACAGGTCTGGCAACATCTGTGGAGAGAAAAGAGAGTTAATGTTTCAGCTTCAAGGGTCACTGGACCCAAAATGTTAATTCAGCTTTCTCTCCAAAGATGCTGCCAGACCTGCTGAGGTTTCCTAGTATTTCCTGTTTTTCCGATTTATCCAGGAAAATTGAGATTTTTTTCATTTCTCATGTTTATTTCTTGATGACATTTTAAAGTTCTAAATTTTTAATTGGTATTTTGTAACATTTTAGTAAAATATTTTTTTTTCCCTCATGTTAGCAGTTAAAAGATCTTCTGGAACTTAAGAGGTTATCCAAATGTTAAGGTGAACTTCTTTGAGATTATTATTTCAAAATGTAGGACCAGAGGGAAGCTAAATAAATTAGTGACAAGTAATTGCAAACAAACATTTGGAACATGTCGGGCGTTCAAAAGAAACTAAATATCACAGACATTCAGAAAAGGATGGATGCTGAAATTGTGACATTGTATTCAATTGTTAGAAAATTTTAGCTTCTACTGGTGCAAAGATCTTTCTCATTCCACAAATTTTAATTATTTTCTTGTACAATATTCTCTTCTTATGAGACAATGAGCAACCAAAAAGATTGCTTTTGGTGAATTATTCACTTGGTATACCATCTTTAGGTCAGAGCATTCACATGTTTTCCACAACCCAATCTATCAGAAGTTTCACAGAACAAAGTCTTTCACAAGATATCTGCTCATTGTAAGGCTAGCATCAATTGCCTCGTGTCTGACCAATCAACCTCACAGCTCAATAAAAGATGAACTATTCTTACCAGTTGTGTTCGATTCATTTTTATTTTTGTATCAAGACATGTGCTATTCCAAATATAGAAAGACGTAATGGCCCTATTAGACTTAAATTTGGACATTCTCAATATCTACCTATTTCTAATATTCATTTATCATCAGTAATATGCTGCCTCTTTGCCCTCACCTCCCAATCACACAACACATACTGAAGGTTTCACTAATTTGGATTCACTAATCTATCCAGTCCCCTTGTTTTTCATACATTTACCAGCCCTAATTGAGAAATAGTTATTCAAATATTTTTGCGAAGAATCAAACTATCTAAAGTTGAGGTCAAATGAATAGTTTCCCCCACATCAATTCAACTTGAAAACAGCAACAGGCAAATTAAAAGTCCCAGCACTATTGCTTATAGTTATGTTTATAACCAATGCTCCCTCTAAGCTGTGCATTCAAGTACCCATGCAGCAACTAAAAAGACTGAAAAAGCTGTACATATTTGATTGTCTTCCACCGAAAAACTTCCAATCGTGTCTAAAAATCCCTTATGAAATCTGTGCAGGCACACCAAAAATATGAGGGAACATTGCTTACAGTCACAGAGAAAAGTTATTACAAAACTGGAAAACAGAACAGAAATTAGAACCTGTAGATTTATCCTGCATATCCAACGCTGACTTTCTTGTACCCTATGCTTTTCTGGTTTTGATGTAGTTTCTGAATGCCACATGCAACACTTTCACAAGTCTCCCCATCATTAAATATATAGGCAAGCATAACTGAAATAAATTGAAGTTTTTTTGAGCAGTCTAACAAAAGATTTGTTACACTGAATATTACATAATGTTATATAACTAAAAAAGGTCTGAAACAAAAAAAAAGGTAGAGTAACATTAGAACACAGCTAAAATTGGAGTTTCTGTCGATAGACTCAATGCTTACAGTGTTAAGCAATCACAATTCCTCGAGACAGGAACTCAAATCTGGATTGACACTTAGACCCTTTAGTAATGCAGGTTTGTTAAAATTTCAAACAGAGGATGATCGATTAATCAATCAATAAATAAATAAATAAATGGTGCTGTGAATCTGGAATGCACCCTCTAAGGATGATGGAGGCAGAAACCCTCATGACATTTAAAAAGTACTTAGATGTGCATTGCGATGTCAAGGCACAAAGACTATGGATCAAGTGCTGGAAAACAAGATTAGAATAGTTAGGTGGGTTTTTTGACTGCACAGATGTGATGGCCAAATGGATACTTTCTGTGCTGTAGGTCTCTGATTCTACAAATAATTCCTTAAAGTGAGGTTAACTTGACATAGTGAGAGAATTGGAGGAGATATCTGCCATTTAATGCTAACCGTAAATCGTACTGACCCATTTTTTCAGTGCCAATGATAACAAATGTAGATGTTGACTATTACGGAGGGCAACAACAGCTCTGCAGTTTCCAGATAGCCCAGTTACACTTGAATCTGGAAGCTGCAATGTGTCCGAGTGGGCTCCACCCATTACTGGGATTGTGACTAGCCACTAAGCCTTCCTGACGAATCTGTGCTGCAGCTGGGAAAGAATGTTCCACTGTAAAAAGTAGGTAAATAGATTTTAAAACACAGTCAGTATGTGCAGACCTCCACTTTGCCGCTGGCCTGAAGGTCTGGGCCATTCTATCTATATTCAATTTTTGGATTTGGAGGAAGTTGAATACTTCTACAGGAACAGAATTTGTCAATTAAGCCTCTCAAATCTATTCCATCACATTTGATTCGTATGTCAGTCTTGCTTTGATCAAATTTTTCTTGATACTTGAATTAACAAAATGATTTCACCGAGACGTGAAAATTTCAGTTGATCCAACACTGATTGCCATTTTGGGTAGACAATTCCAGATTTTCACTAATTTCACTGCTAAACGGCCTAACTTACTGATACAACAGGGAAATACACGAATGATTAACTCTTATTAAATTCAAGAAAAACTAAATAACAGTTGTGATGCTTTAAATTGAATAATTTGGTGGCACAGTGGTTAGCACTGCTGCCTCACAGAGCCAGGGGCCTGGGTCCAATTTCACCTTCGGGCGATTGAATACGCAAACTCCACACGTTCTCCCTGCGTGTGGGTTTCTTCCGGGGCCTCTGGTTTCCTCCCACAGTCCAAAGATGTGCAGGTTAGGTGGAATGGCCCTGCTAAATTGCCCATACTGTCCAGGGATGTGTAGGTTGGGTTGATTAATCATGAGAAATGCAGGGTTACAGGGGTAGGGTTGAATGGACTCAATGGGTTGAATGGCCTTCTTCCCCACTGTAGAGATTCTACGATATAAAATGAGGCAAGCTCCTTTAGAGGGTTAAAAACTATCACCAGTTGAAAAGAAGGAAATAATGCTACATTTAAGTACACAAAAAAATAAATACCTGATAACTTCAGAAGAAAGTCTGTTGCAGAAATGTCTTGACTCAGGGGAAAGGCATCTTGATTGTCTGTAAGGTCAGAGGATTCTGATGGATTTGCTGCACACTGCTGAATTGCCTCTGGTCTTTTGCCAAACACATGACTATCTGTTAATGACACACTGATGACATTCACATCACTGGGTTCCTCCTTAACTGATTTCAATGGAACAGCAGATACCTTGTAGTTTTCTGCTTTTGTTTCATAGAAAAGATGGTCCTGAATGTTCAGTGTATTCCCAAGCAATTCTGTTCCCTTTTTCTTCTTATCAGCAGTCTCATTAGAAAGTGTCCTTGTGACCTCAGATTCAGTAATCTCTTCTTTGACCTTCACCTCGGTTCTGGGAAAGTGCTGATGACAGCGCATGTGAAGTTTTAAACTGAAATGACGAGATGAGGTGAAAGGGCAAAGCTCACAGTGGAAGGTTTCACCTCTATCCTGATGCTGATGAACCTGCTGATTGACAAAGTTGTTTGAAAAGGGAACGCTAGAACATGATAAAAGCTTCCAGTATAAACCTTTACCCTCATTCCTTCCCATGTAAAATGCAGACAAACTCCCTTTAGAGTGCCTCGTTGGCAAAAGAATCCACACAAGCCAAAGAATCGAATGTGCTTGTTAATACAACAAAAAGGCTACAACAATTCCGGTCTCAAATTCCTGCACAATTGATTACCCATGACTTTACCTAGCATCGAAAAATCTTTTTGAAAAACAACTAGACCAGGAGACTCTCTGATGTCACCTGAAAAGCCAAGTCTATTGTACAGAAAATAGATTGAGGGAGTGTTACAAGGTGGGGTTAGCAAAACTGATTGGAACACCAACTTTCATGCAAACCATGAAGCCTACTCACAACTATATGGGCTAGATTACCCAAAATTTCCCATCACAAATCAAGTCTCTATTTTGACCAATGTTTCTTTTTGCAGCTCCTGCTAAATAATTGTAATTTTCTTTTTCATTTTAAGATCACAATGAACATCCATGGAGGTTTGTTGCACATGACTATGACAAAAGTTTTCCCAAAGTGAATGCACCATTTAGAAGATTACTGTTGCAGTTTACGGAACAAATTGTTACATTAAAACAAACACATCAGGCAATGAATCCCAAACCTTAATATCTGTGATTAGCAAACGGTGATATGAAGAAGCCAAGATGTGTTTTAAGGCAATTGCCCATTCTGTTGTATTGGTCTGCACTGTCTGTCCAGAAATTATACGTGACCTACCTGCAGAGCTGCCAAAACTGCACTGAAACTGAATACAGGGAGTCAACTCTTCCTTCTAACCTGCAACCTGATAATAGTGCAAGTGAGCTCAGTTCAGGTTCTCACTTAGGAAACAACTCCAAGATTGAGAAAACAGTAGATGAAGAACTCAGGGAATATATAGCTACGTTTGCCAGTCTATGACACAGCTGGTTTGTCCTGCACCTTAGCAGCCTTTCCAATATTACGCAAGTTAAATCATACTGTATTTTAACCAACTTCATAATGATTGCTCCTAATGGTAAAATACTACCACTTATTCAGATGATCTTTTCTCCAGATTCTGCGCAACTATTGGCTTTGTGCAGTGGACTGAAGCTGTTAAAGAACCTACATTGCTGTATGTTTTGATAGCTCTTCCAGTGTCACAAACACTTGGATACACTTATCAGGAAATAACACCAACGTTACCAAATTGTTGGTTAAAGATTATATTGACTTTTCAGGAAATTAAGCTGAATCATTTAATGAAGCATAACAACAAGCATTTTATTCCTAGTATTGATTTTTACTTTGCTATTCTAGATATTAGTCAAAATTATGGCACTCAAACATAAATTAGTTTAGAAATATTGCAAAAAGCTACAGCAAGCATGTTAAAAACTCTGATCAATAACAGTGAAATACCTTCAATCTGATACTTTGATGTTAGCTTTCTCTTACCGAAAGCTTTATAGCTCGATTTTCAATTGAACAAGTGACACAAGTTGATTTTGCTCCAAATCCACAAGCTCAAATTTTCATTACGTGCTCAGGTTTAATACCTAGCGAAATATATTCTAAATTCCATTATCTGTACTGATAAAATATTCCACCAGGATAGCAATAAACATTGGTTTGGTGGCTGGGTTGAGAAAGAGATGGTTAAATTGACAGAGCTTCTAGCATTGATCCTTGTGTAGCAGCCTAGTTGGGATGTGGTGGGACTATTGTGCATCATTTGAAGACAAAATCCATCTCAAATACAATCTCTGAACAAATCAGATGGATAGCCAATGATCAACAAATTTTAAAGTGAAAACAGAAGACAACTCGTGCCCATAACATCAGGTCCCTGAAATATCTTGAGGAAAATGAAAAGGCAGAACCCCAGACTGAAAGTTGGTATTTTTCATTCTGCAGATTAGGATGAAAAGGTGTCTGTAATTAGTCAATATTTTAACGTCTCTGCAATTTTAGTTTTAGGACCATATTTAAAAAAGCCACCTCTTCTAGGTCCATATGGTCCATTCCTAGTCCTTTTCCCACTTTCTTTGTAGATTAATTGTTTTGGAGAAACTACAGAATTGCTTACACATCATTCACTTCTTATAATTGATCAAGTTTAAGTTTCAATGATCGTCAGTTGTTACTGAAGTTATCACTGTATTTATCTAAAACACTTATACTGTATTCCAAAATTAAACAAGAAAAAGCAATGAATTTGCATTCCAAATTGCTTTCATCAGCAAAGTTCTTTCACAGTAAAACAGTACATTCAGATTTATAAAATTACATCCTCACTTCATTGTACCTTCATGTGCGATTTCAGATTATCCTTGCGTGCACAGCGGAATGGACAGAGTGGACATTGGTGACTTTTTAGCCCTGTATGAATCACCATATGACGTTTCCAGTAGCTTTTACGTTTAATAACCAAACCACAAATAGGGCACTGGAAGGATTTTCCTCCCTCTTCCTCGGAAACTGTAGAGAAAAATAAGACTTAAAGTAATTGCTGCTGAAGCAATACATTTCCACCTGGCCCATTATTCAGATGAAAGACCCCAAAGAATTCCATGCAAACTCAAGCAGCAGAGTTGTCCAAACCGGTTCTTGGCTTTCCGAGTTATATGCACACCTGCTCAAAGATCAACTAAGTGCTAAGTTACTCTTTCCAAAGCTGTGCATTAGGAAATGATCGCCCTCTGATTGGAGAGTAGTTCAGAATAATATTGTTTGGATTCTAATGAGAACTTGCATTTGAGTGCCTTTTATGTAGAAGCTTAAAGCAAAGGTGTACATTGAGTCAAAGGAGGTGGTGATGTCAGAATGGGTACAGCAAAAATTTGGTAAAGAGAGCTTTGAAGAAGAAAGGCACGGAAAAGCAATGCATTTCAGTGACAAAATTCCAGAATGTGGGGCCTTAGCTATCTAAAGAGATACCAATTGTGGAGCAGAGGTAAATGGATGGACAAGAAAACACAGTCAGAGCAATGGGAAGTTGGAGGGGATAAGCTCTCGAAGACCAAAACCAACATTCATTAGGGAGTACAAGGGCTGTATGAATGAGCCTTGGTATAGATTAAAATAAAGGCAGGGTTGTTAAAATGAGCTCACAGCTACATACTGAAAGACAACCAGAGTGGCACCCACAGACCCTTTGTCGGAACTGAAAATAGCTGGGGTAAGGTTGGTATTTATATTGATGATGTAGAGTAAAGAGAAGACAGAGAAAAGGGATAGACCAACAAAGATTTGTTTCTTTGCATATTCTTCTTCTCTCTCTCTGCACAACATGTACTCTATTCTTTCTTCCTATCTCAACCCATAGACATAAATACCTCCCTTCCCCAACTACTTCCAGTTCTGACAAAGGGTCACTGAACTTGAAAGATTAATTCTGCTTCTCTCTACTAATGCTGCCAAATCTGATTTTCTCCTGCATTTTCTGTTTGTGTTTCAGATTTCCAGCATCTACAGCTCTTTGTTTGTATTGTACTGGAATAGTCAACTAGAGAGATGATAAAGGGACAATCAAATTTTCAACAGCAAGTGAGCTGAGGCAGATGTAAAGGATAATGGTCAATGAGGTGAAAATAACCAATCATTTTCAGAGTTTGGAAGCTCAGGGAAGGATGAAACAGGGTGAAGTTGCCAACTAGCTTTGCCACAGTCAATGGTTGGAATGTGGAATGGAATTGATGGCAAAGACACTGAGCTTGTTGTGGGATCAAAGATGTTGTCAGTGTCCCCAAAGTTTACCTGGAGGATACAGGGGGTCAAAAGGTGGATATTGAAAAAAAAATAATCTGAACTTGCTCTGGGAACAAACACCTTGAAATGGAATCGGAAATAATACAGATTTGTAAAACATTTTGAAAACACTAGCGCCTTTTTAAAAAAATCTCTATGTTTTGGATATAGTTCCAGCACTTGGGAAGGGAAAACTTGGACCATATTGCAATCCATTACCAAATAGTCTACTAGTATTCAAGGCAGAATGCAAATACAAAAAAAGGTATGCAAGTGTTGCCCCCAACTACACTTCCTGGTTACCGGAGCATAGCTTCAACATAAATGCCTGCCTATCTTTAACATCTAAATTGAGGTTATGTCTTGGCACATCGAGAGAATACAACAATACACATGCACAAGACAAAGAAAAAAGCTAGTTATCAAAAGTACCAAAATCAATAAAGAAAATCACATGCAAATTTGAACTTCAAATAATACTTTTGACAGCACGTACCTTTATTGGTAGACTTTAGCATTTTCTGTTTGGCTGTTGGCAACAACATCTCGACTGGAACTGATGGAATCAGCTTTTCTTGTTTCACTTCCAAAGACTGCAAGGTATCTCCTGGGATCAGTTGATTTTTTCGCTCAACCAACATATTCCCAGCAGCCCTAGCTGCAACTTCTTTCAGTAGAGCAGCTGATGAGGTCATTGAGGCCAGAGAAAGGAAAGTGCTTCCTGGACGCTTATGATCTTGAGCAGAAGACAAACTTCTTTCACTAACTTTCTTTGAAAGAGCAGCCAATGCAGAACTAGCAGACTGCTTTTCTATGGGGTTATAAGGCGATGAGTATGGACTAAATCTCACTGGCTCCTCTTCCCTCGAAAGACTTTTGTCCAGACGAACTGCATTTGCAGCAGCCTTCAGTTTCTGTGTAGCTGAAGCAGGTGATAAGCTACAAGATGATGAATTTTGCAACCAAATATCCTGATTCCACATAAAGTTGTTACTTGGACTAAAGTTATTACTTTGCTCCTGCTTAGCAGCTAACTTCCTAGCAAGAGCACTTAGTTGCAGTGCGTGAGTGGAAGACGGTGACAAAGGCAAAGCTGAACCAACAGCAACTGCAGAATCATCTTTCTCTGTAGTTACCAAATCAGGCTTGGAATTGATTGACCCAGCCTCCAACAGACGTCTTAAATTGCTACTCATAGGTTTATGTAACATATGGGATCCCATTTCATGCAACAGCGGTGATGGAACAGGTGACAATACATCTTGTTTTTCCAAAGTGTCTTTGAACTGTTCATTTTCAGAAATCAGCAGCTCCGAGGAGTTCCTTAAGGGAGTTGTGCTCCCCAAGGAACTTTCTGGAGAGGTTGCCTCTTCTTGCAGTTTATTTCCAGGAGACACATTAAGGTCTTCTTGCACATCTAAATAGGAGATTTCAGAAGGTGTTTCAGAGGCATTGCCAAACCAATTCTCCTCTTCGCCCAGTTCTCCTCCTGCTTCATCTTCATTTCCATCTTGAAATGAAATTGGAAGATGTACCACAGTCAAACATTATACGATACTGTTATTGAAACTGTAACCTCATTTTTAGTGTTTTCATTCCCACAAGGTAATTTATCTGCCCGTATGCCCAATACAACAAAAAAAAATGTTCCCAAAATTCAAGAACCACCTTGGTTGATTTGTTTAAGTCCATGAACAGTCATTGAATAGTTGTGCCATTAGTTGCAAAAATGCCAGGTTTGCAGTTTTATTCAACCTTGCTTGAAAATAAAGATTCGACTGCTGCATCTGTTGGATGGGCCTCAACTGAAACACTGCACCTAATTCTGGGCACTACATTTTTAGAAGATTGACAACACCTTGAAGAGGATGTAGTGGGGAAGTTTACTAGAATAGTTCCAGGGATGAAGGAATTGAGTTATGTGCAAAGAAGAGAGAAGATGGGTGATTCTCCTTAGTTTGGAGGAAGGGAAAGGGAAAGTCATTAGAGATGCTCAAAATTATAGGAGGCTGAAATGGAGTACATAAAGAACTGTTTCCATTGGCAGGTAGTCAGTAACTTAAAGAGACATATTTAAAAATAATTGGGAAAAGAACAATGGGGAGATGAATAAATTGTTTCATGTGGTGAATTGTTCCAATTTGGATTAAATTTGCCTGAAAAAGGGTGGTTCAATAGTCAACAGTGGCCTTCAAAGGAAATGCATGAATACTCAAAAAGATGACATTTGTAGGGCCACGAGTAAAGAGCAGAGGGTGAAATTAATTGTTTTTTGAAAGAGAGAGGCAATTCGTCAAAATTGTAAAGCTTTACGAGTTGATGCAAACAAATGTCCCATAACTTTAACCTTTGTTTTGTTTCCTGTCTCATCCAGCAATGGCAATGCTGATGCTCTCAAATAACTCAGAACACCTTAACCATTTTCCAAGAATGAGGCTTTGGTTAAGGTAATCATATAAAAGGTGTGTGGGTGAAGTTCAAAAACTACGTAATGAATTTAAAGCACTGCTTCTGACTGTCATCATGAGCTGATAGTATATATTAAAAACCCCAAGTTAGAAAGTAAACAAAACTCTGCAAACTTAAAGCACAATGAAATCTCCACGTTGTCTCTTCTCTACATCTAACTTTAACTTACTAAATGCATAGTCTTATTAAAGCTGCGACTTCCCCTTTTGATATCATAAATGCATAAACAAAAGGTCGTTATTCTCTTGCCATAAAAGATCAATGATCACAACTTTCTCTGGATGGGATGAGTAAAATGCTCAAATCAAACTGCCACTGCAATTATCACAGAAAGTGATTATTCTTTGGTAAAGTTGATTCTTTTCCAAAAAAAATAATGTACTGGCTTCAAAAATTGAATTCTTGTATTCTCTCTTCATATTTGTCACAATAATGACCAAATGAAAAATAACAGAAATGCAAAGTAAAACAGGCTGACTATAGTGAACAAGTAACACAAGCAGTGGCTCCTTACTCTAAAAGGAAGTGGAGACTAAAATGTGTGAACATCTGACTAACCGACATTAGATGTTTCTTTCACATGCTGCTCCATGGCAGATGGGAAGAAAGGTCGACAGTGAGATCAATAATTAGCATTGCTTCAAATGTTGTGTTTAATGGCTGTTCATTCTAAAGTTTAAAAAAAGCCTCACAGCAGAGGTGGAGGCACGCAGCTGGGGTAGAGTTCAAATGACTAAATCAAGCCAACCAGGAAATTAGGTATAAACGCCTTCCTCCAAACATGCCCCTTTCCATAAAGCAAAAGAAGAACACATGACCATTTGCAGCTATAAGTCACTCAATACCATGAATAACAAAGAAAATTACTCAATAACAAATTAGTGTATTAATTCTAGTGTCAAAAAATGTGGAGCTGGAAAAACACAGCAAGTCAGACAGCATCTGAGGAGCAGGGCAACGTTGACTTCCCTGCTCCCTGGATGCAGTCTAACCTGCTGTGTTTTTCCAGCTCCCTATTTATTAACTCTAGCTTCCAGCATCTGCAGTCCTTACCGTCTCCTAGTGTTTTAATTCTAGATGGTCTCTCACTTTTGTCAGTCTCTGTACATGCACTATCTTAAATCATGGAAGGTTTGAGTTATATAGGAAGACTGTATAGGCTAGAGCATAGGATGTTGACAGGCAACCTTATAGAAGTTTATAAAATAATGAGGGAGAGAGATTGAGTTGATGACAGTTGTCTTTTTCTGAGCATGGGGAATTTACAAGGTTTTTTTTGAAATTTAAGAATCCCTACAACATGAAAACAGGCCATTTGGCCCAACAAGTCCACACTGACACTCTGAAGAGAATCACACCCAGACTGAAGCCTGTATTTTCCATGGCTAATCCACCTAACCTACACATCACTACACACTACGGGCAATTTTAGCATGACCAAGCCAACTAGCCTGCACATCTTTGGACTGTGGGAGGAAACCACAGCACCCGGTGAAAACCATGCAGACACAGGGAGAATGTGTGGAGTTTACAATATACAATTGCCCAAGGGTGCAATCAAATCCGGGTCCCTGGCGCTGTGAAGTAGCAGTGCTAACCACTGAGCCACTGTGTTGTCCCCACCAATAGAAGAGAGATTTAAAAAAAGACATAACAGGCAAATCTTTTACAGAGGGGGTGGTTTGTGTGTGGAATGAACTTCCAAAGGAAGTCGTGAATGTGGGTACAATTACATCATTTAAAAGACATTTGGATAAGTGCACAAACAAGAAAGAGTTGGAGGTAAATGGATCAGGAACTTGCAGGTGGGCTAGTTTAGTTTGGGATTATGTTTGGCATGGACTGGTTGGACCAAAGGGCCTGTTTCCATGCTGTATGATTCTATGTGGGTCTTCAAATCATATGCATGTGTTGCTGTCGTTCACTCACATCTGCTCAATTCTAGGGTGACTTTCTTTCCCTAGTTAGCGAGTGTGGCTTCCATGATATTGGTTGTCGCTGATTGTTGGTTTGTGGACCAAATGAGTCTGATCGTCATCTCTCACTCTGTACAGATGGCGAGATATCTTCCTAACCAGCTGCCTGTTACAAAGGAACAGCTTCTCCAGTTGTATATTGATCATTGAAACTGAAGGCACGCAGCTAGTTGTTCAACGTGTACTGCTTGCAATTGAAGTGATAATTGAAATGAAGTGGATTTACACAGATGCCAAGTTGCTATATGGGCTGACCCTTGTTGAGAGCACTGAGCGTTTACTCATTGACTGTCTCTTCTCTCTTCAGCTCTTCCTAAGACTTGGCTTCGCCTTTTCACTTTGATTGTGTCATGCTTCCTGTTACCAGTAACTTTTATACTATTGGAAGAGCAGTTAGGATATGGCATGACATTAGTCTATAGACTGCACTACTTTCCATTCCTTCAACAGGTACATTTCTCCATTCAAGGGTTGTCTTGTACAAGTCTGTGCTGGATTTTGCTCAATTTCATTATGACCCCTTTGGCAATCTTCACTGTCACTTTAGTTTTTCCATTCAGTTGGGGATATAATGTAGAGATGATGTATGGTGTCCAATTTCCCAATCCTGTACGAAACAGTTAAATTCTTAACTTGTGATTAGATGGTTATTCTCACTCTGAAATAAAGTTGTACTGTCAGCTATTCTACATACTCACTGGTAGTTCTTCCACGTCAGCCTGTCAGAACAGTTGGTGACAAAATAAACAATTTGAGTGTGTAAAGAGGTACAATCCAAGATTCATCCATGGCCTCTCTGGAATGTCATGAAGATGAGTAGCTCTTAAGGTGCCTAGTTTTGTTTGTTACAAGCACTCCATCAGCTGCTGTGATCCTAATTCTTTTTGTTATTGAGTCACACAGCATGGAAACAGACCCTTCATCCAATCAGTCCATGCTGATCATGTTCCCAAATTGAACTAGTCCCACCTGCCTGCATTATCAAATGTCTTTTAGAACTTTGCAACTGTACCTGCATCCACCACTTCCTCTGGCAGTTCATTACACAGACTGACCAATCCCTGTGTAAAAAAAAAAAAAGTCCAATTCTGCAACACCAGCTATTTGTCATTTAACATCTCCCACATTGAACCCTATCACAGGTGTTTCCATTGTTTTAATCCCTTATCCCAAATTCACCTATTTAAAACATATTACATTTCTAACATTTCCCAACGCTGAATGAAAGGTCTTAACTTAAAACATCTGTTCTGCTTCTCTCTTCACAAATACTGCTTGATCCGCTTGAATATTTCCAGCATTTTCTAGGTGTATTTCAGTTTTCCAGTACCTGTAGCATTTTGCTTTTGTGAAAATTCACAGGCTCTGGTAGCTATATAATTAAGCTGTTATGCACCCATAAAAGGGTCCTCTTGTGATGCAGTGGTAGCATCCCACCTGCTCCAAAGATGTGCTATAACACTTCTGAACAGGCTGATTAGAAAAACAGGTTACTAAAAAAGATGCTCCATTTCCATGCACTAAACTTTCAACAGATGTTTACTATAGCATTAGATGAACATTACTTCTGTTTAAAATCAGTTAATGGTACACTGTCACTCTTCCCCTATCAATATCAAAATATAGAAAAGCTTAAACCAATGACTGACACACGAAGAAACGAACCTAAACATAACTGTTCAATGCAAGCCGATACTACAGAGCATTGTAAGAGCATTGAACAGCACACTTTCCAATGTTGTAATAACAAACCTTCACTCTTCCTTGAGCATTTTCCCCAAACACCAAGTTCATCTGTTCAGGCTGATCCTGGCTACCCAACTTTTCTTCCTTTTCATCTACTTCACAGCTACTCTTGGACTCTGATGATTCAGCTTACTTTGTATTCTTCATATGACTAGCTTGTCTCTTGCTTGACCAGCAGAGCACTTCTCTTGTGCTCCTCAGACTCAACTCAGTTTCTTCACAGCTTGCATGGATACACTTCAGCATCTCTTTTCTCGTTTCCAGATGGTGAATGACTTTGTACAAGATTCCATCTCGGGCTATCACTTCACCTCTGCAA